TCCTAGAAATAATATTTTTTCTAGAGATATACAAGCAGAAGGTCCCAGTCTTCTGTAGTATGTAGCTGTGACAAAGGCCCTATTGGACTAATGAATGCAGATCAAGAGACAGGCAAGGTAATCATTTGTCATCAGGAAATGCCTTATGGGGCCTCTCACAGGCTCCAGTGTCAAATTTGATTTAATCATTTTCTGTCAGTACTGGGGAAACTCCTCCATAGAGGAATTAAAAGATTTTATGCCTGCTTGGACATTTTATTCAAACTAGCTTATAAGACTAACAAATGCCTTTCATTTGACTAGGTAAGAAAAATTATTATTAATTATTAATTAATAGTTAAAAATTATTCATAAAAGATAATACTTTTTGTCTTCCCAAAAGCATTTTGACTTAACAAAGATGTAAGCTGACCAAAAAGGAACTGCCCAAAGATAGGGTGGTAAAGGGTTTTGTTTTTACTTTTCCAGGAGAATAAAAACATCTAACTAAGGAATCTGAAGACCACTAGACAATGGAGACATCTGAAGAAGAAGTATGTATCATCCGGAGAATAATGTTTCAAGAAAAGGATTGAAATTGGCCTAATGGTATGGCATATTTCTAAAAGGATAACATTTCAATAATCTCCCCGAATATTTATTTCTGCTGTTCTCTGCAAATATAGAAGACAAATAGTCTTTTGTGGTTTCCAATTCAATTAAAAATCAAAGCTAATGGGAGCTCACCAAGGCCAACTGGACTGGGAGTGATGGAGCATGTGATCAAACTGAATACTCTGAATGTGGCTGACAATGAAGACTGACTGAGAAGTCAAGAACAAAGGCACTGGGTTTTGTTTCTACTGCATGGACTGATTTGCTGGGAGCCTGGTTTGTTTGGATGCTCACCTTTATAGACCTGGATGGAGGGGGGAGGACCTTGGACTTCCCATGGGGCAGGGAACCCTGACTGCTCTTTGGACTAGAGAGGGAGGGAGAATTGGGGAGGGGGAAGGAAAAGGGAGGCAGGGAGGAGGTAGAAATTTTTAATAAATAAATTAATTAATTAAAAAAAGAAATGAAAAAAATCAAAGCTGACTTTGGAGTTGGCATGTAACTTTCTCCTTCTCTAAACCCAAACATGATCATTATAATAAAATTCACGGCTGGGTGGTGGTGGCAGTGCAAGCCTCTAATTCCAGCACTCAGGAGGCAGAGGTAGGAGAATCCCTGTAAGTTTGAGACCAGCCTGATCTACAAGAGCTAGTTTCAGAACAACTAAAACTGTTACACAAGGAAACCTTGTCCTGAAAAACAATAAATAAATAAATAAATAAATAAATAAATGATATTCATAATCTCTGTTTCATGTCAGAAGAGGAACTAGATATGGGATAGAAGAAAACCAAAATTCAGGGACTATTCTATTGTCATTAATCTCATAATCCTTCGAGAAGTTTTTGACTCTTTAAAACTATTATTAAATGATCAATATTATCTCTAAATGTATTTTATACATATATATATATGTATATACACACATGTATATATAAACTTTCTGTCATGATATTAATGGTAATCTAGAATATTGACTAATGCTAGAAATAGGCTTTATCTAGCTTTCTATAAGTGATTTTAGCCTTGAATCTAAAGCAGGAAACTAGGAATTTAGTTTGTATACCCTGAGTATTTTTAACAGATTGTAATTTTTCAAACCTCTCTGATATCTACTGCACATGACACTTGAAATATCCAAGTTTTCTCCAGTGATCTGTGAACATTACCAATTTGGAGACGTTTAAAGTCTCCAAAAAGATAGTAGGGGGCCATAAGGAGGATTCCAACTGGATTGTTGGAATAACAACACTACCCAAAGCTGACAAACACTACACAAAGGTCAGCTTTAAACTTCAAACTACAAAGAACGGTAGCAAGTTGGTTAGCAGAGATGATACAGCCTCACAGACTATCCAGTCAAAACTTCAAATAAACCCCACACTTTTCCATCACAGGGAGACTAAACAAAAAATACTACAGCTAGCTCTCCCAGGATCCGACCATAATCCAGATTTTCTCAGGATTCCCTATAGGTACTTTTGTCCTAAAGAATCAAGAAGTAATTTTAGGAATATGATGCCCACAATCCTAAGAGAAGCATTGGGTGGGTTTTGGTTAATCAATACATTGTGACTGTTTATCATCATTTTGTGGGGGGATGGGTGTAGATTGTAAATTGTTACTGGTCATAGTAAGAGAGGAAATTAAACAATGAGATTGGGTTATTGTAGGATCTGTTTCTGAAAAAGTGGGTAATAAAAAGACAGGATACAAAGCAGGTAATAAAAACACAGGATACAAGGGTAGATCATTTAATCTACTTTAAACTAAAAAGTAATTTTTAATCACAATTTTTACAATGGTTAAAAACTTTGTATATTGATATAAATCTAAGGTTATTTTTGTTAGAACATACTGTATAAATGTTTCTACTCTTAAGATTATTTTATTAATACAAATGTAAGGCTATTTTTATTATACAGTATATATGTTTCTACTCTTGTTTAAGGAAGCACATTAAATAAACCTATACAGTTCATTTTAAAATTTAATGAATAATTAAGAAATACAGGTTAGTAGTTAGTAATCTATAATAATAAATTTGTAATTACATTAGTTATGTTTTTAAGGTTGAACAGAGATACATTTTTGATACATAGATGGTCTTCAAACACACCAGGGACTTATAAAATATGGTGTTTAAGATGTTTTAATAACCTAAGGTTTTTCATGACTTTGAGACCCATCTGTCCTGACAATGCCAATTTGCTTATAAAAAAAAGATGATGGGTATTAAAGAACCTCTATATGGAGTTTGTTTTTATTGTGTCAGTTTAGTCACTGTGCAAGCCCTTGTCTCCACTGCTCACAGTATGCTCTCCAAATTGGACTAGCAGGACACAAAACAAGATGACTGCAAAACTTTGCCAAAACAAGATAGAATTTACAAGATAGAATCAAAATTTACAGAAAAATCTCATATATTCTACTCTTGTGTCCTAAAGATGGATATCTCAACATTGTAGGGAACATGTGACTGTCCAGGCAGTCAGCTGTTCTGTCATTTCTATACAAGTTTTGGAATTTGTTTGCTCTTCACTTCCTGTTTGTTCAAATAATATTACATTCTTCTTCAGGGATCTGATGGAGTTGAAGACAAGATAGTTATACTTGTATTTTTTGCTGTTACAGAATTCATTGAAGAAACTTACAAAAGATATATAAGTCACATAAGATTGAGAGACATAAAAGCTTAAATTGTTTATCTAAGAAAATGGTTTGAGATATAAAAATTAGTTTTGAGTTGGTAATACAAGTTAAGATATGAAATAAATTAGGTACAAAGCTTTGGATCCACCAATATAAAATAGATAAGAGCATTTTCTCTGAATTTGCCAAAAAAAATGATGAAACATTGTGTATGTAATTCTTCTTTGATAACTTTTATATAGTTTTATATTGTTAAAGTTTAAACCTTTCTTTTTATTTAGACAAAAAAAGAGAAATATTGGGGGACATTCAACTACACTATGAACCCCAAGGTTGCTTTTTAATTGATTAAATAAAATTAACCTTGGGACAAGAGGCTGAGTTAGCAAGTTGACAGAAAGTGATCATAGAGCATCAGAGGACATCTGGGAGAGAAAGAAGTGGGAAGTAGGTGGGAGGAATGTAGATTAGTGCAGGGTTTTCTGCTTTGGTAGAAAGAAAGCAGTCTTTCAGAATTGCCAGCAAGGAGAGATGGTTAGCTTTTTGCTACTTAGCCTCTTTGACCCAGGACATTTTCACCCCAATCTTTGAATCTTGGCTCTTATTTGTAAATTGAATGATAGAGATTTAGTTCAAGCTACCTGTGGCAGCAGAGACAGAGCTGGTGCTAGAGCAGAATTGCCACCAGGCTACAGTCTAGAGTAGCAGCTGGTAACTGCAGAGTTGCAATTACTGGCTATTTTAGTTATCTAGGTTGTTTTATGGTTCCATATTAATTATAAGATGTTTACTGTGAGGTGAGATGGGGACATAGGGATTACACTGAACCTAATCTGCAAGTAGGTTTTGGTAGAAAGATAATTTTTACGATATTAAAATTCTGATCCACAAGCATGGGATGTTTTTCCATTTTCTAAGGTCTTTTTCCATCTCTTTCTTTAGAGATTGAAGGCTTTCACTGTAAAAATTCTTCCTTCCATGGTGGTTTAATTCTAGATATTTTTATTTTCCTTGAGGTTATTGTGAATGGTGGTGCACCCATGGTTTCTTTCTATGTGTGCTTGTTGATAGTATATAGAGAAGTTACTGCTTAATTCAAGTTCATTCTCTATCCTGCCACATATACCTTCAAACAACATTTTAAACTGAATAAATCATTTTAAGAATTTTCTGGTAGAATTTTTGAGCTCTCTAATTTATAATAGCATGCCATCTCCAAATATGGATAGATTGACTTCATTGCTTTCCTATTTGTATCCATTTAATTTTCTTCTCTTGTTCTATTGTTCCAGCTACTGCTTCAAACACAATATGAAAAAGGAGCAGAGAGAGTAGATGCCATTGTCTTGTTCCTGAATTCAAGGGGATTGCTTCAAGTTTCACTTGATTTGAATAATGTTGGCTGCCCATTTCTCATATATAGATTTTACTATGTTGAAATAAATTCTTTCTAGTCCTATGTTCTCTAAAATCCTAACCATCAAGGCACATTGGTTTTTATAAGAGGCCTTTCTGTCTATGTTTTGAGACAACTATTTTTCTTCATGTTAATTTATATGGTTTATTTATTTATCAGCTTGAGTGTGTTGCACCTCCCATGCATTTCAAGGATAAAGCTAACTTGATCTGTGGATAATCTCATTGATGTATGTCTGTATTGTGTTTGATAGTATCTTACTGAGCACTTGTGAATGTATGTTCACCAAAAATAATGGTCTGTGGCTTTATCTTTGTTCTATTTTGTTCTGTTTTATTTAAGTATGGAATGCTTCAAGAATGTGTGTGCCGTCCATGTGCAGGGGCCATACTAATCTTGTCTGTATTATTGCCATTGTAGTATATATGCTGCTGAAGTGAGCACTGCCTGTTTATTAAGATTAAAATATTATCATATGTATGACTGCTTATACACTTAGGTATGTGAGTTTATACATGCATTTATGATGTGTCTGAATATGTATTTATCAATTATCTATTGATAGACACTTCTGTTGTTTGTTCCTCTACGCTATTGTGAATGTTGTTTGAAGGTATAAAGATATGCAAATAGCTCTTTCATATCTTTCTTCAATGGTTCAAAAACGTATTCAGAAGTAATATTGCTTGAATAATTTTCTTTTTAACTTTTTTGAGCAACCACTTTAGTGTTTCCCATTACAACTATAATATTTTATGTTTTTTACCAGGAGCACTTAGACATTTCAATTTCCTGATTTTTACCAACATTTATTAATGTACTATTTCTGGTAGTGTCTATCTTAATAGGTACGAGATGTCATTTTGTTTCTTAAGAATTGAAGAATATATTTTCTTTTTCCTCATATTTTTTCATGGACTTAATCTTCTAGAAAGTGTTTAAAATAAAACTAGTAACAAAAAATGAAAAAAAACTAGTAACAAAAAAATCAATCACTAAAAAGTAATTAGTAGAGGAAATAATTTTTCATAAAATTGAACATAAAAGATAAAACTTATAAACTTCAAAGATATTCTGTTTCAATTGCCACATTTCACTTTCCTTGTAGGAACTAGTTCGCAATGTGCATGACCAGTGAACACTCAGGAGCTTCCTCCTTCGTTACACATCTCTTGTGGATGTTTCACTGCTTCCTTATCTGATCCATAAATGCATGAGTCCTTAATTTAATCTGATGTCACTTCCTAAACCTGGTTCAGAATATTCTTGCTTTCTCATTCAAGGAGGTCAAGAATCACTTAAACAGAAGGCCTGAAGATGAGGATATATTTATATATTTATAGTTCAGACATAATGACCATGTTGTAGTCAAATTAATACTAAATTTATAAATTCTATATTCTCTCAATAATCTATGTATTATTTAATGCAATCTCTGGGTCATTTCAAGCACATAGCTTCTGCTCTAGCAAAGCTGAGGCTCACTAGGTACACAGGGCAAATTCTCAGGGAAGCTTAATTTTTTATGCATGCTTTATGCATAAGTAAATTGGAACATGGAGATTAGATCACACTCCAGCTGTTTCTTTGTAAACTGTGTTGTATCTTCTATGCAATTCCAAGACAATAATAACCTTCAATCTCCAGGGGTTACACATGAACAAAGCAAAAAAAAAAAGATATTAAACTAAAACACATATGCAAATTGCTGCACTGATTTCCTCAGGCAATGGTCCCCACAAATGCCTCCCATTACAGGTGCCATCAAACAATCGCTGGGCTGTGTATAGAGTTAATTTGTAAAGCACAATTCAGCAAAATTTAGCAAATCACCCATGGCTGATCAGCCTGTTTCTGGATCATGTATTATCATGTTACTCAACAAAGAAATTAACCCCTTTCTAATATTAACCAAGTTATACTGAGTGCAATACAAATGGTTTTCTCTTGAAACATTTTCATTTCAGTTTATTAATATAAAATTTATCTTTTATGGATTGGATCTAGAAGTACTACAAGAAAGAGATAGATGTAGAAAAAGATCAGTCTTTATATAAGAGGTTGTAAAAGAAGAAAGTTGTATATAGGCAGATAAAAAGTCATGTACCAGTATTTACTGATGGTTTAGTGAATAATAGGTCTTGCTTAGTCATCTGAGATGATGATTTAAAATATATTAGGTAAATGTGGGTATTATGATTTCAATGTGAATGTCTCACATAAGCTCGTATATTTAAACACCAGTTCCCTAGTTGATGGCACTGTCTGGAAAAGTTGGCACCATTGGTTTTTGGAACCACACTGCAAGGAATAAATTATTAGAAGTTGGCCTTGACATCTTAGAGACTATATTCCCTTTCTGTCTGCCCTTCAGACTCTTGTTTCTAGATGTGAGGGATCCTATTGTCACACTCTTGCTCACATGGAATCATATCCTACTATGGCTTTCCCATCTTCAGCAACTTAATATCACTCCCCCTCCCAATTGTAAATCAGAAAAAAACTATTTTTCCCTTCATTTGCTTCTTGGCAATTACAGCAACACTAAAAGGTACATAATACATATGATCTACAGGCTAATTGATCACATTTGTTGGATCTAGTGGTAAGATATAGAATATTACAAATCCACTTATTCTGTGTAAAGTGTATAATTTCTATTCTCTATTTATGGTGGCTTAAGTGAGAAATGTCCCTCACAGTCTCATGTCTTTACCACATGATCCCCAGCTGATGCTGCGGTTTGGGAAGATCATATAATTTTTAGGAAGTGGAGCCTTGCTGAGGAGAGTATATTGCTAAGGGCAACTTTTGAGTTTCTCTAGCCTGGCCTCACTTTCTGATTCCTATGAGCAGATAGAATGTTATAAGACAGATTTCTTTCAGTTCCTGCTGGTGTACATAGCTTTTGCCATGACTTTCCCACCATGGAAGACTATAGACCCTCTGGAACTTTAATATGAAATAACCTCATTATTTCTTTAATATGATTTTTGTCAGGGGATTCTATTGTAACAACAGAAAAGTAAATAATACACTATTCAAGGGACACTGTAAATAATACCTACCTTGCTCTAGTACCTCAGATCCTCATCTGTGCCAATGTCACACCTGAACATCATCCTTCTCTAAAAGTCAATTTTATTTATGAGATGTAAAGTGGGGAGAAGATGCATAGATGTATGACTATGGTGTGCTTAAAGGTGATTCAAAAGCTTTAGGTGTTGCCCTTATAGGAAAGCCAAAAGAGCTATAAATAAGTGAATAATAAGTACTGGCCTGTGCCCCATGGGCAGATGGGACTCAACATGTTTCACATACTATCAACATCTAATAAGCTGACTATATGACATCAATAATGCAGAACCTGTGCATAATTTAAAGTACTCTTTAAGAATCTAATGATAACACCCCTTAGGAGAGCTGCAGCAACCACTTCAATATGTTTCTTCAGATTCTGTGAACTCACATCTGTTTGGCATTTTTGTTTTATAGTCTGAAAAGATATCCATGTTTCCTACTTAAGATTTATAAGACTAGCACCACTAGGAAGGATGGTTTATAAACCATAAGGTCATTTGTCACCCTTCATTTAGAAGCGGAGATTTCCCTTCAATAATTGTCACTCTCTCTGCTTTTTTCATGATTCAATATTGGTCATTCTTTCATTATCAATTAATACCTCTAATATGACTTCCTATGGAATTTTCATTGTATCACTAGATATGCCATGATTTCATAACATTGATATTATTCAAATATCTTGGTGAATAGTATGAAGAGAGTTTGTAAAATGTTAACTATCCTGTGTCTTTAAGTCAGACTAAAAGAAGTGAAATATTGAATTGTGCATATTAGGCAGAAATCTTCAAACAAGTTATTTATTCTTCTGTGACTATTGTAGCAGAAAATTTACAGCAACAAAATGATCATTATTTCCAAAATATTTGTTTCCTTGCCTGAAATATCAAAATACTGAACCACATAGAAAAAAGAATCACAAATAATATTAATAATAAACTACAAAAATATGCTATGAATATTTTAAATATAGAATAATAAAAGGTTGCATAATGTTAAAATATATTTTATTTGAAATTCTTTTATAATTCAGTAATTATTTTTTCATCATCCCAATCACATTTTCACCTCCCTTCCTCCAGTCCTCCCAGCCACTCCCCTCTTCCTTTCCCCTCATTTACTCCTCCCTTCCCTTCAAAAAAGGAATGTCAGCTAGCATGGCAAATCAAGTTGCAGTAAGACTAGATGCCTCCTCTCTTATTAAGGCTGAATGACCAACCCAATAGGAGGAAAAGGTCCCAAAAGTAGGTTAAAATGTTAGAGACAGTCCCAGCTCCCAGTGTTAGGAGTCCCACAGAAAACCAAGCTATCTAACTGTAACATATGCTTAGATCTGACCCATGCAATCTCTTTGGTTGGCAGTGGAATCTATGAGCCCATATGTGCCCAAGTTAGTAGGTTCTGTGAAGTTTTTTTTTGTGGTTTTCTTGCCTTCTCTGGCTCTCACAATCCTTTCTTCCCCTTTTCCACTAGATTCTCTGGGGTCTGTCCAATGTTTGGCTATGGTTCTATGTATCTGTTTTCATCAATTGCTGGCTGAGTGATTGATGGCAATTGGCCGAATCAATGATCTATGAACACAGCAGAATATTATTAGGAATCGTTTCTTTAAACTTTTTTTGTCAGTCATGTTTGTTTCTATTATAGTTCTCTGGGTCATGCCCTTCCAGGCAGTGACAAGGGAACACTCCCTTCCATGGTATGGGTCTCAAGATGGACCAGTCATTGGTTTGTCACTTTCACAAATTTCTATGCCACCTTTACCAAGGAAGAATAAATTGTGGGTTGAAAGTTATGTGGATTGGTTTATGTTTCAATCCTTCAAAAGGAAGACTTATTTGGCAACAGGAGATGGCCAGTTCAGATTCCTTATCCTCCATTTCTAGATCACCCTCATAGATTCCTGGAAGTTTCCAAGGCGTAAACTCTCCCTGAACTCCATATTCTGGCCCATAACTTCTCCCGAAGACTTTTGCTTTACTAGAGGCCAGACAGGAAAAAAGACTAAAAGTAAGATACCACTGATTACCTGCTAACACTCTATTACTTCTTAATACTTGTTATCTTTACTCCTTTTAATCTATGACTGTCTGAACTCTGTCTCTTTAAAGACCTTGAGGTTTTATATAAACCATTTATTTCCTTTTATAACTCCCTATTTCTTCTCTCTCCCAAGCCTATGTACATTTATTCAACACTGTGACCCATTTAGAGGTTTTTTTTTTTTATGTCTGCATCTGTCCTATTATGTATTTGTAATTCTTTACTGTCCAGGAGCACTTCGTAAAATGGTAAGAGCTTCTTAAAAACTTAAGGTGCATCATTACTAGGGTATAAATGGTACTTCCTGCTTGCCCTGTCCA